TCATCACAAGAGTTCCTGGCGAATCCCTACGTCCTGGCCGTCCTCCTCTTCTTCGCTCTCCTCCTGCAGAGAACCTTCCTGCAAGCTTCATACTATGTCGCCATTGAGACCGGGATCAACCTGCGAGGAGCCATACAGGTGAGATACTCCGCCCCCAACAATCCCACAGGGGGAGGAGCTACGGGGTAATATTAGCGCCCCGCCATCCTCTGACAATATAATCACTGCGGGGAGTAGAAACGTTTCCGATCCTGAGCGGCCCGAGGGGATCATACAATGAATGTCAAGAGAACCTGTCATGCAGCAATAATACAATCTGCCATCACTTCTCTAATCTGTCAGTGCAGTAACCCATAGCAACCCCTCAGTAACCCATAGCAACCCCTCAGTATACCCAATGCAACCCCTCAGTAACCCATAGCAACCTATCAGAATGCATCAATCTGTCAGAACTATGTAAGTGAGGAGCTCAGAGGGGCCCTTGTATCTCTGGTGTCACATGTCCATGATCCGTGTTCTTGATATGTTCTCTTCCCTCTACAGACGAAGATCTATAGGAAGATCATGCATCTCTCCACCTCCAACATGTCCATGGGGGAGATGACGTCCGGGCAGATCTGCAACCTGGTGGCCATCGATACCAACCAGCTGATGTGGTTCTTCTTCCTGTGCCCCAATCTCTGGGCAATGCCCGTCCAGGTGGGTGAGGGGGGGGGGAGGGGGTCTGCCTAAAATCTGTCTGTGTGCTGAGCTTCCTCACACCTGATGAAAGTTGACATTAGGCTGGCAGCAGGCGTGGCTGCTTTGTAAGTTGATGGACAGGAGGGGGCGGTGCCGAGATAGGAGTCAGCAGTGTTGGGAAATCTGGTCCAGTCAGGATGCGGGGCGGGGGAGGGGAGTTTTGTTCCCCATCTTAAGGGATGCAGGAGAATGACTTCACTCACCTCCTGGCAGGACAGACATGCTCTGGATATGGGCCGCAGAGCATCAAACCCAACGGGCCGCAGAGCATCAACACCCCATCTGTCCCTGAGCACAACCAGAGTTCTTCTTTACCTTAGCTCTGGGGGGAGGGGGAGGGTAAGAATGTACTTCTTGTTCCATGTACAATGTATGACAGCGCAATCAGCATCTTCCCTGGACAACTGCAAGATCAGCCAGAATCAAACTACAATCACCACACAAGAGGTCTGCGGATCATCATCTGTCCACACCCAGCGGGGGCTGGGAATGTCAGTGTGTTACATTGTATCATGGTGATGGGGGGGAGGGGATGTTACATTGTATCATGGTGATGGGGGTGTTACATTGTATCATGGTGATGGGGGTGTTACATTGTATCATGGTGATGGGGGTGTTACATTGTATCATGGTGATGGGGGGGGTTACATTGTATCATGGTGATGGGGGTGTTACATTGTATTATCGGGGTGTCATTTCTCCTCTCCACAGATCATAATGGGGATCATCCTCCTCTATTACATTCTGGGGATCAGTGCCTTAATCGGAGCCGCCGTCATCATAGTTCTGGCGCCGGTCCAGTATTTCGTAGCCACAAAGTTGTCACAGGCCCAGCGCAGCACTCTGGTGAGTCAGCTTAGAGTGTAAGCTCTCAGGGGCAGGACCTTCCTTACCATCTTGTCTTGTAATGTCTTCCTTATATTGTACAGCGCTGCGCACACTGTTGGCGCTCTATAAATCCCGTATAATAATACAAGAGGAGGGGCCATCAGGCGTTGGGCTCCGCCCCTTAGTTCCAGTGACGGGAACTCTTAAGGCATCAGCACACCAAGACATTTTGGACAATTTCATGCTGCCAACTTTGTGGGAGGAGTTTGAGGACGGCCCCTTCCTGTTCCCGCATGACTGCGCACCAGTGCACAAAGCAAGGTCTATAAAGACACGGATGGGGGAGGGGGGGAGGAACGTGACTGGCCGCACAGAGTCCTGACCTCAACCCCATAGAACACCTTTGGGATGAATTAGAGGCGGAGACTGCAAGCCCCTCCCCCAACATCAGTACCTGACCTCACAAATGGTCCAACATTCCCATAGACACACCCCTAAACCTTGTGGACGCCTTCCCAGAAGAGGCGGAGCTGTTATAGGGGCAAAGGGCGGAGCCAAACCAATACTGATCCCTATGGACTAAGACTAGGGGCCATTAGAGGGCGGAGCCAACCGAATACTGAACCCTACGGACTAAGACTGGGGGGCCATTAGAGGGCAGCGCTAACCCAATACTGATCCCTATGGACTAAGACTGGGATGCCATTAGAGGGCGGAGCCAACCCAATACTGAACCCTACGGACTAAGACTGGGATGCCATTAGAGGGCGGAGCCAACCCAATACTAAACCCTACGGACTAAGACTGGGGGGCCTTTAGAGGGCGGAGCCAACCCAATACTGAACCCTACGGACTAAGACTGGGGGGCCATTAGAGGGCGGAGCCAACCCAATACTGAACCCTACGGACTAAGACTGGGGGGCCATTAGAGTTCATGTGCGTGTGAAGGCGTCCCAATACTAATGGCAATGTAGCGTGTATTATATCTGGAGTGATGGACGTGTATTATTGATGTATGATTGATGTATTATTGATTGATGTATGATTGATGTATGATTGATGTATGATTGATGTTTGATTGATGTATGATTGATGTATTATTGATTGATGTATGATTGATGTATGATTGATGTATGATTGATGTATGATTGATGTATGATTGATGTATGATTGATTGTATGATATTGAGTGTAGGATTGATGTATTATTGATTGATGTATGATTGATGTATTATTGATTGATGTATGATTGATGTATGATTGATGTATTATTGATTGATGTATGATTGATGTATTATTGATTGATGTATGATTGATGTATGATTGATATATTATTGATGTTTGATTGATGTATGATTGATGTATTATTGATGTATGATTGATGTATGATTGATGTATGATTGATGTATGATTGATTGATGTATGATTGATGTATGATTGATGTATTATTGATTGATGTATGATGTATTATTGATTGATGTATGATTGATATATTATTGATGTTTGATGTATGATTGATGTATGATTGACGTATGATTGATGTATGATTGACGTATGATTGATGTATGATTGACGTATGATTGATGTATGATTGATGTATGATTGATGTATGATTGATTGATGTATGATTGATGTATGATTGATGTATGATTGATGTATGATTGATGTATGATTGATTGATGTATGATTGATGTATGATTGATTGATGTATGATTGATGTAAGATTGATTGATGTTTGATTGATGTATGATTGATGTATGTTTGATGTATGATTGATGTATGATTGATGTATGATTGATGTATTATTGATTGATGTATGATTGATGTATTATTGATTGATGTATGATTGATGTATGATTGATGTATTATTGATTGATGTATGATTGATGTATGATTGATGTATGATTGATATATTATTGATGTTTGATTGATGTATGATTGATGTATTATTGATGTTTGATTGATGTATGATTGATATATTATTGATGTTTGATTGATGTATTATTGATGTATGATTGATGTATGATGTATTATTGATGTATGATTGATGTATGATTGATATATTATTGATGTATGATTGATGTATGATTGATGTATGATTGATGTATTATTGATTGATGTATTATTGATGTATGATTGATGTAAGATTGATTGATGTATGATTGATATATGATTGATGTATTATTGATGTATTATTGATGTATGATTGATGTATGATTGATGTATGATTGATGTAAGATTGATTGATGTATGATTGATATATGATTGATGTATTATTGATGTATGATTGATGTATGATTGATGTATGATTGATTGATGTATGATTGATGTATTATTGATGACGGATTCTCCTCCCGGCAGGAAAATTCTAATGAGCGTCTGAAGAAGACCAATGAGATGCTGCGAGGGATTAAGCTGCTGAAGTTGTATTCGTGGGAGCAGATTTTCCGCGGCAGCGTGGAGGAGACGCGGCAGAAGGAGCTGAGCAGCCTGAAGGCCTTCGCTTTATACACCTCCATATCCAGTACGTTCCTCCATCAACGCTGGGCGGAGTCACCCAGGGGTCCTACAATGTGTCTCCGCCCCTCATCTACCCTCCCACTTCCCGTCTATGATGTGTCCCCCTCTACATCTTCACCCTCTGCCACTCATAATCGCTTCATAGTAATGCAGCCACCAGGGGGCGCTGCAGAGCTGCCATATCCTCCTCGGAGACCTGATCACGGCACTCTGTGATTGGCTGTTCTGTACACCGGTCTGGAGTCGGCCATTTTTTGTTATGTGGAAATACTATCACGTGTTGTCTTTCGGTTCATCATGTGCAGTGTGAAGAGGCCGCGATTGAAGCTTGTTCATTGTTTGTGAGTTGTGTGCTAACCCTCTTCTCCTTCTCTCGCACAGTATTTATGAATGCCGCCATTCCCATCGCCGCTGTGCTCATAGTAAGTCTTGTCATTAATTCCCAGAATCCTCTGTGCTCCCCTCCTCCGCTCATTGAATCTCCTCTCCCCTCTCCCCATGTATGAAGACGTTTGTGGTCCACGTTCACCTCCTGAGCCACCGCGACTTCTCTCCGGCCGTGGCCTTCGCCTCCCTCTCCCTCTTCCACATCCTGGTCACGCCGCTATTCCTCCTGTCCAGTGTGGTCAGGTCCACCGTGAAAGCTCTGGTCAGGTAAGAGCCCTTCTGTGACCCTCACCTACCCGGGTCCCATCTCTTACCCCTCATCTCATCTCCTACCCCGGGTCCCATCTCTTACCCCGGGTCCCATCTCTTACCCCGGGTCCCATCTCCTACCCCTCATCTCATCTCCTACCCCAGGTCCCATCTCCTACCCCAGGGCCCATCTCCTACCCCGGGTCCCATCTCTTACCCCGGGTCCCATCTCTTACCCCGGGTCCCATCTCTTACCCCGGGTCCCATCTCTTACCCCGGGTC